TTTCATGTCATGTTGAACTCAGCTTGCTAGTATTTTGTTGAAGATTTTTGCAATTCTGTTCATCAGTGCTACTGGCCTGTAATTCTCTTTTCTTGTGCCCTTGTCTGGTTTTGGTATCAGGGTAATGCTGGTCTCGTAAAATTAGTTTGAAAGAGGTCCCTCCTCTTGTCATTCTTGGAGAGTTTGAGCAGGATTGGTGTTCATTCTTTGAGCATTTGGTGGAATCCTCCAGTAAAGCCGTCTGGTCCTGGACTTTGGTTTGTTGGGTGGTTTTCGATGAACGATTCGATCTCCTCGCTAGTACTCCCATCTGTTCAGATTCTCTATCTCATCACGATTCAGTCTTGGTAGTTTGTGTGTTTCTAGGGCTTCATCCGTTTTTCCTAGGTTGTCCGGTTTGTTGGCATAAAATTGTTCATAACAATCTCTTCCGATCCTTTGTATTTCTGTGGCAGAGACATAATCTCTCCTCTTTCTTGATGTTATTTATTTGAGCCCTCTCTCTTTTTTTTTCTTGGTGAGTCTTGCTAAAGTTCTGTCCATTTTGTTTATCTTTTTAAAGAACCAGCATCATTTCAGCAATTGTTTCTGTTGTCTTTTTAATATCTATTTCATTTATTTCTGCTCTAATCATTATTATTTCCTTCCTTCTACTAAGTTTGGGAAGATGCATTTAAATGTTCTGCTGAGAGCTGGGGCAGCACACTGGGTGTGGTGGGATGCCGTACACATGCGTGTGCTGGGCCAGGGAAGGAGGAGGGGTTCTGAAGGTAATTGAAAGGTCTTTCTTGGGTTGTCCCCTTACACTGCTTCCTGTGGGCATAACTCACACCCAGGAGCTCACACGCTGCACAGTGTTTCTGGCAAGCCATACTTCTGTTGCCATTTTAAACACTTTTCCCCCCTAAAGGCAGTTCTCATGTGGAGAGGGGGAAGGCGCTCGTAGAGTGTGGTTAATAAGGAGGAGGAACCCAGAGGCAGCTTGGTCCCCTGGACCACGGACCGGCTCGAGGCCTCTCCACACTCACACTTCGCACCTTCATTGATCTTGAGAGAGATGCACTTTTCAAATGATCGTGATTTTAGCTCTGGAACCGACATATTCTGTAAGTTTCATGTTCGAACACATGCAGTATCGTGAATGGCAAAAACAGCTTCTGGATATTATGGAAACAGATGGATTTCAAGAAGCGTGCGCAGAGTCTGCCTGCGGGGGCGGCGTGTCGGGACCTGACGGTAGATCCGTAGCGTAGATTGACTGATCTCTGGCAGCCAGCCGGAATCCGTCCTTTCAGAATGGCTCAGGCATCTCCAGTCCGCCTTAGAGGGAACGTTCTCACTGTAAAAGTAGCAGTTTTGCCTTTGGCTTTGTAGCGAATTTTTATTTCTTTGGAAACATTACATCTTACTTTTGGAAAACACTCTAGTGGGCTGAAGGATCACAGACAAACCGAGAACGATATAACGAGACTTTTCACTTGTTTGGTGGTAGGTCTTGATCAATGGGCAAAACAGTTGGGGCCACCGACGGGCATCTGAGTGCTCACGCCTGCCAGAGTGTGGGCTGACGGGGAAGAAGGACCCCAGACCTGGGGGGAGGCTGACTTCTGCTCCTACAGCTTACTAGTGGTGCAAACCTGGGCAGGCCCTGTAGTCTCCCTGGGCCTTATTATTACCACCTGGAGAAAACGACTTTTCAGAGTTTCTGCAAGAGTTAATTAGATAATGTGCATAAGACACCCAGTGTATTTCAATTTACTGAAAATTTCCATAAAGTACCTGAAGAGTGTTATCACAAAACTTGTTACAAGGCACCTTGAGAAGGAAGGGTAAACTTGTTCACATGATTTTATTGACAACAAAGACAGATTCAAATGATCTGTTACTTAAATGTATAAAAATAGGGGAAGAACCTCTGAGTTAGGCAATGGCTCCCACACGCACCGTGGCCCTGAGTGCGGTCCGCGCGGTCTTGCCGTCACGGTGAGGGCCGGCCCTGTCCATCCGCCTGACTGATCAGCTCGGTCTCTTGTCAACCCTTCTTTGACACGTAGGTTTCTGGAGTTGGGGCTCAGATGAAAAGCCCAGGACTGATGGAATGGACTGTCAGCGAGTCTGTCCCTAAGGGGAACGGAGCGGCCTGGACGATTCCTCTTGCCAGGGTTCAGCAGAAGCTGGGAGAAAGGCTAATAGAGGAAGTGAGTGCAGGTGGCTGGTGACACGGGTCTGTGCTCTGACGGGGGACAGGCAGCATGGCGATGCGGAGGTAAGCTTTGGAAGACAGGATCAGCGGACCTTTCCTTAAATGGCCCACAGTTGTCTATGAAGGTAGGAAAGGGAGCTGACAGAAAGTGTTCTCGCCAAACACAAGTTACCCAGAAATAATAGTCACATTGTATCGTAAGAATAAGGTCCTTCTGTCGTGTTACCGTAGCCAAAGAAACAAAGTAAGCTGGTGTGCCCCATAAAGGGTTTTGCCAACCGCCTCAGTGCGTTCTAGATCTAAGCCCCGGGTCAATACTGGGTCTTTAATTTCTCTGATTCCAAGTTCTGGCTCCAGAGGCATGTTTTAGAATGACCTCTTACCGTTTGTTACTTTCAAAAATCCTGCCTCTCCGAGAGAAGGGAACTTCTCCTTACGTTTCTGTCCTATAGGAACTACTTGGAAAACACCGAGTCGATTATTTCCTGTCTAAATTGTGAAATGCTGTATCCATGTTCTTACTAGCGGGGGCGACTGTCTGGTATTCCTGCCGGTCATAACTTTCTGGAGACTTCAGAGTGGCAGACATAACTATGACCCAGTGTTTTACATAAACGTATTATTTTTCACCATAAAAATGGAAACTGGCTACGTCTTGCAGACTCCACCATGAGCATCTCTGAGAACGTGACGCTTGGCGGGCACCGCCCGTGGGCTCTTCTCGTTGTTAGATTCTTTGAAGGACCTAACCCTGCCTCATTTGTCGGAGACGTAGACGTACCCATCACATTTATCTTTCTGGAATTCCCGGAGGATCTGCAGGTGTGACAGACAAGTTGACACATCTTCCTTGACTAAGAGGCTCTGAGAGCCAAGTTGTCTTCTGCCCCCGTGTGCCCCCACGCCTCCAGAGGAAGGGAAGGAGGACTGCCAGCACCACAGGCTTTGGCATCCTGATCTGGTCCTGATCTTGTTGCCTGTGAGATCTGGCAAAGGTGTTTGACCTCTTTGCTTTTATTTCTCATCTGTAAAATGAGGATCATTAAGTCTTGTTGTCCACCATCCTCGAAGTCAGTGAAGGTGAAGGAATGAACCTGTGTCCAAGCCTTCCGAGGTCTATGGAAAACTGCACAATATCAAATCAGCATTTCAGCTGTCAGCAGTCCTCTAAACAAAGAAGAAAGTAAACACAATTTTTTAGTAGAAAGTGCTTTTTAAAGGATTCATGTCAGCTCTGAATGTATATTTTCTTTTTTGGACGGTCTTACAATGTGTGGTATGCAGTATTTACCTCTCTATTTTTACCTTAATTTTTATTAACCTTTCCTAATGGCATTCCTTATTTACGTAATCGTTTGCAGCTGCTTTGCTCACCTGTTTCTCAGGCCCCAGGAGTTTTATTATAATTTCCTTCTGAGCCCTAGGGCCAGGAGGAATGTGTTTAAGTACTCAGCGGACTCTCCGGGCTCTGGAATCTGAAGGAGACTCAGTAGTGGCTTTCGGCAAGATGTTTCTTCCCCATCTTCCCTGACCCTGTGTCCATCACTTTCCTGCTGGACATGGGGAGACCTCTCCCTCCGAAGTGTGGGACCCTGTGGTTGGAAAAGCACAACTTTTGTCCCGTAACCAGTCATGGGATTTGCTGACGCGGCCCCGACATTCCTTCCCACTGCCCCTGGCCCCCGCACTCCGCCCTTTCCAGCCAAAGCTTCAGATTAAACATTCGATTAAAAATCAGATCTGGATTTTTTGTTTTGTTCTTTTTCCCAGTGCCCCTGGCAAGTCAATCGAGGCATTGTTCTTGAAAATCCTCACTCTTGGGTTTCTGTGTGAGCCAGAATTAGTCTTTTTTTGTTTTCCACCCTGTAAAGTTGTAAGCCAAGGCTGAGCTATTTCAGCAATGTTGTTTGCAGTGGGCACTGTCCAGAGACTGGGTGTGCAAAACTCTCTAGGTCTCTAACCAGTCCCCACGGCGAAGTCTGGACCTCTACACCCATGTGCTCCCAACACACCTGAGCGGCCTTGACAGAGCGGCTCTAGAAATGGCCACATTCTCGCCAGACCTGCCCGGTGTCCCTGCGGTCAGACCCTGGATCTCTAGTCCAAAATTCATCCTCAAGTGCATTAATCTGCTGAAAAATGCCAAAGGTGTGCGGCCCTCCGTGAATTACCTGGACCATGTGGTGTTCATGGCTTCTTCCGCTGGAAAGCCAGCTGATCAACAGCCAACGTGAGGGGACACATTCTCTGGAGGTCTAGGAGAAGCCTGCGGCCTGGGGATGGGCCCAGACTCAAGGGGGTGGGTTAACCTCAGGGTCTGTTCTGCGCCAGCGGGTCAGTGCCCGGGACACTAGAAGGGCTCAGCGCATCTTGGGGTCGTGCCTGGGACTCTCCCAGTGTGTGCGCGCGTGTCTGTGTGTGCGCGCGGGTGTGCGTGTGCGCGTGCAGGGAAGGCGGCACGCAGGCAGCTGTAACAGAGGGCGCAGCCCCGGGAGGCCCCCTCCGCCTCCAGCCCCCCCGCAGACCCGCGCTCTGGGCGCCCCCGGCTGGAGCGCGCGGCCAAGTGGAGCCGAGCGGGCGCGGCGGCGCGGGGGTGTGGCCGGAGGAGGCAAGGGAGGGAGCGAGCGGGCAGGAGGAGGATCCGGGAAGTTCTGGGGTTATTTGACAGCAGCCGGCGAAGCGGCACAGGACGCGGAGGGCCGCCGCCGGGTGCGGAGGGCAGCGGGTGGAGTCGGGCGCCCAGAGCGCGGGTGAGGACCGCTGCGCCCCGCTCCCCGCCGCCTTGCCGCGCGTCACCATGCTGCTCCCGCAGCTCTGCTGGCTGCCCCTGCTCGCCGGGCTGCTGCCGCCCGCGCCCGCGCAGAAGTTCTCGGCGCTCACGGTGAGTCGTCCCGCGCGGACCTGGCAGGCTAGCCCGACTCGCCCGCGCCTTCTCCTGCGGAGCGCCTGGGCGCGGGAAGCAGCTGACCCTGGGGAACGTGGCGCCGCCTCCCGCCTCGGGTCCGAGCAGGTGAGGCCCAGGCCGGTCCGCAGGCGGCTGCGTGGGCTTCTGGGGTCTCTCCGCCGCGTGGGGGTGCTCTGGGGTCCTGCGCGTCCAGCTGGCTGGTGGGCAGGGCCCGGCGCGGACACAGGGCTGAGGACGCCGGCGCCGCCCCGCGGACTGTCCGAGGGCCGCCCCGCCGGGGACACGCTCGCCCACTCACTGCTGTCCCTCCGGCCTGGGGCGGGCTCGGCCTTGCGTCCCTCTGTCACTTGGGCCCTGCGGGGGCACGCGCGGACCTGTGGCCGCTTGACTGGGAAAGGAGCTGCTTGTCCTGGGCGCTACTCCTGAGCCCCCTTTGGCTCGCCTGCTCGTCCCAGACACCCTCCCCAAGTGAATCTCGGAGGAAGCAGATGACATTACAATAAATATTATTTTCCCTCGTGTCAGCCGGCAGAAGTTGGGGGACAAGGCGTCTCCATGATCCGCAGTCCCCTTTCCCTGGTCCTCTCTTGGTCCGGGGGCTGCGCGCAGGCAGGCGCGCTCCCGAGCGCGTGGGTCACCGCGGTTGACCACTGTGTGTTTTTCTGTCTTAGCTGAAACTTCTCTGCAGCAGCCTTGGCCGGCAGCGCGCGGGGCCAAGCCGGGAGCTCCGTGCAGGGCGCGAGCCAAGCCACCCGCCGCTGGCCGGGCCGGAGTCTGCAGCCCCCAGCTTGGGCAGACCTCGTGCGCTTGCTGTGTTTGCAAACCCATAATTAATGCAATCTGCAGAAACGAAAACATTCCACTTAAATGTGTTTTTGAACAAGTGCTTGAGAAAACACGAAGGTGGAGAGAACACCTCTGATGGAGAGATGATTGAAGTAGTGGGGCTTGTCCTGAAGGGGTTTATTGTATCGAAAACACCTAAGGTTTGAAAGGAGCTGCGGTCAGGCTCTGCTTTTCAGCAAGTCTGAAGCAGTGCTGTGAGCCTTTTTCTTTCTTTCTTTCTCTCTTTCTTTCTTCCTTTTCAAGCAGTATGAGGGGAACGATGTTAGTGAGTTCACTGTTCATACTTAAAATTCTTCTGGAGCAGCCCTTGGGTCCCTGCCTTGTGTCTTGCAAATGACTTGTAGATTAGAAACTGCTCCCTGGAAGCTCCACAGCAGTTTCCCCAGGCTCAGCTTTCCTGCAGGACAGCTGTCACCCGGAGAGGCTGTCAAACTCTACTTCCTGTGGGTGCCCCCCACCCCGTGTGTCCACAGCCACAGTACGTACACACAGGCACACACACAAGTACCAACAGACCCCTCCCGCTCAGAGCACACCGAGGCTGCAGAGGAACAGAGCAATTCTCCAAAGAAGACACTGGCCTTTTCTCCCAGAGCTGGGAGAACCAGCTTTCCTACCCTTGCCATGAATTTTCTGACCGTGTAAAAGGTAGACTCCCACGGGCCCGCTTTCTGGGAGCTCCTGGATCTTTTGGCACCTCCCTGGAAAAGCAAAAGCAAGACGGTTTGTTATTAAATCTCTAGGTTCTTTTCCTTTCCCTCCCGGCCACTCTTGTGCGTAACTTACTTGGGACGTCTTGTCCTTTGCTTCTTGGGATGCTCCGTGTCGTTCCCAGCTGCAGGGGCCCTGGCTGCCTGCCTGGGGAGTCCAGTGTGGACCAAGGCCCCGCACTACACCCTCACAGAAGACCTTTGCCTTGAATCTGCACTTGCAAATATGATGCATGATGCTTTCACGACCAGAGGAAAATTTTAAAGCCCTAAAAGATTTTGGCATATCCCACCCCCCATCCCACCCCACAGCCCAGGAATTCAGCAAGTCGGCTGAGGCGTCCCGAGGGAGTGTTGGATGTGCTGGATCTTTGGCGGTGATCACCTCTTTCCGGATCACTTTCTAGTATTTGGGCATCTTCTGTTTCCTCGACAAGATTTACACCTGATCTTTAATCAGTCAGAGAGACAGCATCGGCCCGTGGCAGCCGGGGCGTCTTCTGGGTGTGTGACTGACTCTGGAGCTGTGCCTTAACTTTCTTAATCTCCAGATTCCCTATCGGCGACCTGGGGATAGAGTAATGTCTGTTGAACATGCTGTGAGGGTTCAGGATGAAGCCTTTGATACGCCCGGTGTGTGTTAGTTCTCCATTAGCGTTATTTCTCATGACACCCACGCCGTTGCCTGCATGATGCGGTTTCGACTGCTGTGATCGTCCGCTCGGTGCTGTGTCCTTCGGGTGTGAGGGCACTGGCTACACGGTGCTGTCGCCCGTCACAGAGCCTTCGAGCACGCTGCTTTGGTCTTGGCCTGTCTGTGTGCCTCGTCCAGGCGTGCAGGGGTCAACGGGCAGAGGAGAGAACGCGGCTTCCTCTGCGCCTTCTTCTGTCCCACCTTCTGTTGTGTCCTCACCTTGAAGCAGGGATCGTCCCCTACCTCTGTGGGTTGGGAGCTTGTCCCCCCGGCTTCCCAGAGCTGTGCATCGGCCCTCCTCCCTCCTGACCTGGACACTCTTTGTCCGGGGCAGTGCTGCCGGGGCGGGGGGCGGCTACTCCTCTGTGTGCGAGAGCGAGAGAAGGCACGTTGCCAAGTCATTCTTTAGAAACGGTGCCAGAAGGACCTTTGTGTTTTTCTTATGACTTTTGTTGGCTTTGCCTGGTCTCCTGGTTATCGATCAGACTTCGGTGTTACCGGCAGTCAGCAGATGGTGGTGGTCCGTGTGTTTGATCTGCCCTCATGGGGTCTACAGCTGTTCTTTCTTTAAGAAGTAGGTACATTCTAAGGTGAGATCATGTCCATTTCTCATGGGGATGCCTGGCTTTTTTTTCTTTATAAAAAATGAAAAGATTTAATCAATTTATTTGAGAGAGCAGGGGGAGGCGTAGAGGGGGAGGGAATAGGAGGGGGAAGAATCTCAAGCAGCCACCCAGGTGCCCACCCCCTCGTACTTCTGTGAAGGCTGAGACTACGGGTTACTTTGCGGTCGAGGTCGCCTGGGCGCACGGAGCACGTGCCTGTGGTCACGACTTTACTTTGTCGCGGGTGTTGTTGCACGGGTGCTAGTGGTTGGACGGCACACCCGCACCTGAATGTTTTCTGCATGGGCCCTGAGGTTCCTGGACCCCCTTCCCACAGGATTTGAGAAGGAGCCGGTGGGTTCCTTTGAGAACTGACCGAATGGTGTTGTGCCCACACACCAGAGGCAGACGCCTTGCCCTTCCCTGGGCCCAGCGGGCGCTGCCGGTGTCCTGGGCTCGCCTGTGGGAAGCGGCTGTGAGCACCTGCGCTCGGCACTCTGCCAGGGGCCCCTTGTTTGTGCTGCTCACGCGACACCTGCCACTGCCCACCCACAAACGTCCTGTTGCACCCAGTTCAGGACACGGGGGAGCTGCCCCTGGCCCTGAGCTGACGGAGCCATTTCCAAATTCAACCTGCATTTGTTTCTCTTCCTTTGGGGGATGGGTGTTCCCGGAGCTAACTTCCGTGTCCCCTTCAGGGACCTAGAATTGCTCAGTGTTGTTTTCCTCCCACCTTCTTGCTCAGGACTCACCAGTCAGGGCCGTGGAAGGACAGAGTCCAAACGGCTGTTTGCGGCCCCCGCGTGCACTTCTTTGCTTTGGAAGAGGGGGATGGAAACGGAAAGATGGTATTTGCTCATCTGTAAATTTTAAAATATTTCATCATGAGCACGCCCACGGGGGGACCTGATATTGATGTCACGGGAGCATCGGCACCAAAGTGTCCCCACATTTCCGGGCCACGAGGGTGAGATGTGCCCGCGGAGTTTCAGCGCCGACCACTCAGGGTCAGGGACTTCAGGCGACGACCCTGGGTGTTTGTTCTCCTCCTGCTGTGCTGCAGATGCCCTGAGCACGTGTGGTGCTCTGGGAGGGCTGGGCTCATCGCCAGCCCGAGACTGACCACCGACTGCAGAGGTGGACAGGGAGGAGGAAAGGAAATGCAACTGACGGTTTCCAACTAGAAGCCCTTGCATGTGACTGAACCCCAGCATCTGGAGGGTCACTTGAATTCTGGTTTGATATCAAGACCATAAATGAAACCATAAGTAACTTCAGGTCCTGAGAGGATTGCGTAATAAGTGGGCGCTGATGTGACAGCGGCTCAGGACAGCAGATTTCTAGGTGACTCTGCATCCAAATGCCTTCAGGAGCCTCCCGGATCTAGGGGGGCTGTAGTTAGGGTTAGCAGAGCACTGGGAGAGAGAGCAAGGTGACATTTACACATTTTGAATTAAAATTATACCGTTCTCCACATACCAGACACACACCAAAAATGACTGATGGATTTCTAGTGGGATTTTGAAATTGAAGAAGAAAAATTGAGAAATAACATTCTGAGCTCATTTATAGAAAACTAGAACGGTCCTCCTGTTTTACCGATCGGTGGTGTTGGTGGTAAGGCGGGATCCCACTATTAACATTCGTACGTGCTTAGAGTTTGAAAAGTGCTTGATGCATTAGATATTTAACTGAAACCTGCAAGAGGAAAGAATTCAGAAAATAAAATCCTAATTTCATATGGGCCAAGAAGAAATTATTCTAGAAGCATTAATAACAGACGGTCTTATGTGGTTTTGTAGCCCCAGGCTGGAAATCAAAGAGCAAAGATTCGTAATAACACACACACAAAACCTGGAGCCCAGTGAAATGTTAACGCATTTGTACTGTCAGAATTTTAAAAAGACATTGTAAGTGGAAGCTTGCGTGCCGTAATATCTGGCTCAGTTTAATTAGAGGTTTTGACACGAGGGCAGTCTCAGAGTGACGACTAGAACCGCGGTCATGTTCCGATTTTGTGATTTTGTTGTGGATGAGCTAATGTGGCGTGTGGCCCACGAAGCTGGCCCCGGAGACGAGCTGGAATGTCCACGCAGGAAGTGACCTCTCCTTTCCTCCGCC